CTGCGAAGTGGGACTTCTTTGCAGTGCATATTTCACGGATGACTTGGTTGTGAAGGAACCTGTAGCGGTTGTGGTCACTGAGATATGTAAAAGGCGCTGTCACTCTGTTGCATAAGTCTTTGATCTGAGGTGTGATCCAGGGTAAGTCAGCTGGGTGTGATCTGACGGACCTCTCGGGAAGAAGTAGTGGTGAGCTCCTGTGGTGTTGTTGGTGTAATTTATCCATTTGGTGTCGTCATCCACTAAGTATTTCAGTCCAGGGATGGTGAACTATCCACTGCCCGAAGAGACGCACTGCAGAGTCAGTAATCAGCCTGTAGGTCTTGATGTAGGGTCTCTGCACTTGGCTGGTGGTGGCAGCTGGAGACCAGAACACTGATTGGTGTGTGCTACACCCGATAGGAGGCATTGGTTGAGGTGGTTGGTACTGGTCCGTTAAGTCAGTTAAGATAAGGTCAAGGGTATTTTGACCGTGTGTGTGCAAGTTCACAACTTGTGATAGTAGCAGCTGGTCCTGGATATCAGTGGTGTCAATTTTGTTTAATTCTAGCAGAGAGGTTGGCACATGGGTACCTAACTCTGAGGTGGTTTTAAGTGGTAATGAGGTGATTGATAAGAGTGTCTCTGGTGGGTGAGCGAGGTGGATGGTATGCCACAGGCGTATGATAGAAACAGTGTGACGCGGGTGGGCACGTGGCACCACACGTACCCATAATGCCTCCACATCAGCTGGGACTAAAACATCCAGGCATGACGGGCATAGTTCATCTTGACAGAAGAAGGCTACGTCCTCTCCGTGTCCCTATAAACAAAGGTGATGAAAGAGTTGATATCCCTTAATGTGGCTCGTTTCAGGAACAATTTGCCAAGCTTCACATATGGCAACGGCATTGGCAGCGACTGATCGGACAGTGGTTGCCAGTTCGTCAAATTTATGAGCTAAGGAAGTAATGTTGGAGAGCAGTAAGGAAGGGAGGTCGTACCGTATTCGGGGAACTTCAGTGTATTGGTACGGTCTGTCAGGAGTAGGTTTCTCTGGTTTTCTAGTGGAGGTGATGGTCCTAATGGGCTTCTATTTATGATGTCCATGTCTACGGCTGCGAGCATGGAATATGTTCAGTAATTTTAGTCGTGCAATAACACTGCCATCAGGTAACCATTCCCACGCATTAGATTATACAGGGAACGTCGGGAGTAAGTAATTGGTGGACATCTGTTCATGTCTGTTGTTGTGGACGGACGGAAGTGTTTGTCCACGGTGCCCATAAACTCAATAATGGCACTTTTGAGGGCCACTGACACTGGTAGACATCTGTTAATATTTGTCTAATTGTAAACACCGCGAGTCCTTGTCTTCGTCACTTAAGGGGTCGCCGACACAGTACCATAACAGTGACCATAAAAGGTAGCATTCTGTGGTATGCTTCGCTTTCCCAAGAACAATACGCCTCGGATACTTTCCGTTACTTGGATGTCTAGCTCATTAAAAGCTTAGGAAAGACTGAGATTCTTGTTTTAGAAACTATAAAATGCTAAATTTATATAAAATTCTGAACGTTTTACCATACACAAAAATAATGAAAAATGGTGACGTGATGGAACCTTCTACCAACACCGACTTCAACGCTCTTAACTTAATGGTGTGTCGTGCTCCAGACAAGACTAAGATTAGATTCCTGACTGGCTGGAGGATGACAGGTCATATTTCTGTGAGACGCGTAAAACATAATACAAGTGTGTACCCATCCTCATTACTTCTCAGAAACAAGTAGTTAAGGCCATACCGGCTGAGATACATCCTTTCCCAGTTTCGCCAGAGAAACAAAGGTTGATTTCGAATAGAACTCAATCAACAGGCACAACTGTGATGGTCAAGATGGTGGTACGACTTTTGGGAGGAAGACCTTGCAGGCGTGGACGTTGATACGAGTTAACCACATTACAGTGCACGGTATCGCTACCACATCAAACTAGTTCCGAGAGGAACTGCAATCATACTACAGAAAAAAATTATCATATTTACGAGCTCTGCAACACTGTCTGTGTGGGGGCGTTGGTGCAGAACGTAAATAAACTGGCTAATGTCGAACTTTGTGTAATGTAACTTTTTTTACTGTGTGTTTTGGGGACATGAAACGTTTAGTGTGGAATGCGTCCGGCTCTTATCGTGGAATTGTGACAAAGGCTTGGTCAGGGAATATTGTTAATGGCGGCAGATCAGATAGGCCACAGTCCTCATAAGTCACAGCCCTAACAGGCCCCAAACTGATTTATTAACTGAATTGGGTAGGTTCCACTGGACTGGGGTCCATTAGGAGTGGGTTTCATTAGAAGTGAGTTCCATTAAAAGTAGGGTCCATTAGAAGTGGGGTCCATTAAGTGGGCCATTAAGAGTGAAGTCCATTAGGAGTGGGGTCCATTAGGAGTGGGGTCCATTAAGAGTGGGGTCCATTATGAGTGGGGTCCATTATGAGTGGGGTCCATTATGACTGGGGTCCATTATGTGTGGGGTCCACTATGAGTGGGGTCTACTAGGAGTGGGGTCCATTAGAAGTGGGGTCCATTAAAAGTGGGGTTCATTAGGAGTGGGATCCATTAGGAGTGAGGTCCATCACGAGTGGAGTCCATTAGAAGTGAGGCTCAATAGGCGTTAGACTACTGTATTACTTAAACTTTGAGAATCTTTGGCTGTTGAAATCATTTATCTTTTATAAACAATGATTTATAATGAGTATTGTCAGTATAGGACAAATGTTTCATGTTACCGGTACTTTCTAGATGGAACGAAGCACTTTCAAGTAACTCAAATTTTGTTGCTGATACGAGTATAAATCAGTTTGGAAGAGGTAATTCTCTCAACTTCATGATGTAATTCCAATGCATAAGGCATGTCTTGTAAAGTGATGGTTAGGTCAGGTTAAACGTATAAGTTAAGGCACGATATAATCTTTTATGCTCGAAGCCTAGATTAGATATCAGTTAATATACATAATTATTTCATCTTTGAAACCAATTGACGCGTCAACATTCTTTAAGTATGATTAAGATGTTCGGGATCTGATTTTGCGTGTATGGCCTCAACAGATGATGGGGCGCAAAGGTACAGTACGTACCTGCACACGTTTCTATGTAACCCCCAGCGGCTGTTTTTCGTGGGTAGACGGAGAAGACAGATGAGAGCAGCCCGGCTTGCTCGTTAGCTAACTTTAAGAAAATATATATGGCCTCGTCTGACTAGGGTCGAAGCTTCCCTCCTAAATACTTCGACCCGGTTACAGATTTATGAGGTGAGAGTATTTTTGTATGTAAAGAGTGAATGCACCATGAGCGTTGCTGTTTTTTTTTAGATTGAAATCATTGTTGGTTTAAAGGTGAATCATTTTGTACCAACTGTCAATTCTTGATTCTGAGTTAAGAATCGCAGTCACTTTAGCAGGAAAGACCATGTGAGAGGATCGAAAATTTTCCGAATAAATGTTCAACTTCTCTGATGAAGGCATTAGAGTAAGTGGCGTCAGGCCGAGTTAAGAACCATTTAAAATTAATTCACGATAAGTTGGGTTCCCGGGTTGGTTGTCATGCCCAGGCTACTTGAGGCAATTTGTCCTGACACGAGTGTTTAGTTGTGGAATGTGGACGCTGGCCTCCTCCCCACCAAGCTGCTGCTGACTCACAAATTAGTCTTTTATTTACCCCTCTACGTCTGTTAGACTCTTTCTGTTTATCAGTCTCCCTCTGTGTCGAAATATTTTGTTTTCACTATTACATTTACCCATCTGTTTATATACATATCCAGGGTATACTTCATTTATAAGTTTAAAGACTTAACAACATCAACCTAGTGAAGTCGACTTGTGAAAGAGACCTAGGGGTACTTGTGGCCCGGACCTTCGGCCTAGAAAACAGTGCGTTAATGTTCGAAATAAGGCAAACAGAGTATAGGGTTTTATATCTAGAAGTGTAAGTAATAAGAGTGCAGGGGTCTTATTGCAACTATATCTTGCGCTAGTCAGGCCGCACCTCGATCATGCGGTTCAGTTTTGGTGCCCTTATTATAGAATGGATATCAATTCACTAGAGTCGGTGCAGCGAAGAATGACGAAAATGATTCAGGGACTTAGAAACCTTCCATATCAGGATAGGTTAAAGAAACTAAACTTGCATTCCCTAGAAAGACGAAGAGTGCTGGGAGATATGATAGACGTATTCAAGTGGGTGAAAGGAATCAATAAAGGTGATATAGATAAAGTTCTTATAATATCCGAGCAGGATAGGACTCAGAACAACGGATTCAATTTGGATAAGTTTAGGTTTAGGAGGGAGATAGGAAGGAACTGGTTTACAAATAGGGTGGTGGACGAGTGGAACAAGCTTAGCAACTTTGTAGTAAGTGCTGGAACGCTGGAAAGTTTCAAAGGGAGGCTGGATAGATTCATGGGTGTTAGAGAGTGGTAGTAACTCTCGACAGGAGCACCATGCACAGGCCAACCGGCCTATTGCAGACTCCTTATTTTCTTATGTTCTTATGTTCTTGGAGTGCCACTTCAGGGAAATAATGTGTTTATTGCTTAAATAATGAAAAAATAGATTTAAGCATATATACGAACATTTAGAAACTTTTCATGATCTTAAATAACTATGGAGAGTTTATTATAATAAACCTGCTACCTTTAGATTGTTTAATAATTATCCTCACAGTGATGCAGCCGAAAAGAGATCCACCAATCATAGTCACCATTACATACAGCCTTACTTTTGCAAATACCGCCAGGTAAAATTACGAGTACAATAGTAAGGGTGGGGGTCGATGCAGCTTTGGTTGCCTGTACTGTATATTTAACAGTCTGCATAACAGAATACATTTAATAAACTACGTGTAATATTTATGATATAAACACCCTTACACACTGATGTGCCTCACAGAAACTGTTTGTCCAGGTGTAATTTTAACTTTGTGTCATAGTAGAACATAAGAAACATTACAGAGTGGCGCGACTTACCGAGAACCTCCTGTAGAACCTCTCTGGCATGAAGAGTCGGTAAGGATGTTTGATGCTGGCTCCAACTTTAAAGCCGAAAGCCGGAAACCCGTCGAAGCCCGTGACGAAATACTGGGTGGAGGAGTCGGCGAAGGGCACAGCGATGGCTTGCAGCAGGTCCACCTCCTCCAATGAGTCTGTTGGCACACAAACACACTCGGTCACATAAGAAACACTCAACGCTCGTACAACTTGTTGTTAGTGCACCACACTTACTGTACCTCTCTTTTAGGAGTTACAATTCCACAAATATTACAAGTTGTGTAACAAAATATGATAGTTGTAAAACAATAGTAATTAACTTTATCATAACTATATATTTTATGCACGAATGAAAAACCTAAGCCTATTACAAAGTTATTGATGCGTTACCCTTCCATGTCGAAAACTGTATAAAAAAGAAAAGAAAAAAATCCTAGTGATTTTCTTTAAAGTCAAAATCTGACATTTTATCAGAATAATAATTACATAATTATCATTAAACATAACCTTAGGAAAGTATTATATCACCTCAAGATTATCCCCCTCAACATATTTCACCTTATAAAGAACCGCCCCAACGCTAACCAAATATAGCTTAACTTAATATAACATAACTAAACCTAGTTTAAATTATACTAATATGCCCCCACCCCAGTTTACGTTAGGTTGTTTAATCATCATGTGATATAAGTTGATGTCACTCTGTGTCAGTGTTTATCACTCACTGGACCAGTGTATGGTGTTTGCTGGATACATAATTTTCCAGTCTTAATATTTCAGCAGTACCCGGTTGAGGATGTTGCTTGCCGGCCACTTACTGGGACAACCCCAATGACTTAATGACATACCTTAAACAGTAAACACTAGGGAAGGAGGATCTTATTATTAAATTACACCGCATTACAAAATTTACATCATTGTAGATGGCAGGAACCAACTTACTTGTTGATAAGTGTAGTTTTGTGTGATCGTCTGTAATTTGTGTTACCGATTTATGGAGTTGATTATACTCACACTGTACCTCGATGTAAGATATTGTACTGATACTCCGACACCCGATGTATCCTTCATGTAAATTTATTATCATTCGATTTTGTCACTACAGCATATCCCCCTTTAACACATCAACTTCTTCCCCTTAACACATCAACTTCTTCCCCTTAACACACCACCTTCTTCCCCTTAACACACCACCTTCCTCCCCTTAACACACCACCTTCGTCCCCTTAACACATCAACTTCTTCCCCTTAACACACCACCTTCGTCCCCTTAACACACCAACTTCTTCCCCTTAACACACCACCTTCCTCCCCTTAACACACCACCTTCTTCCCCACACTACCTTCTTCCCCTTAACACCACCTTCGTCTCCTTAACACCAACTTCTTCCCTTAACACACCACCTCTCCTTCCTTACCACCTTCTTCCCCTTAACACACCACCTTCTTCCCCTTAACACACCACCTTCGTCTCCTAACACACAACTTCTTCCCTTAACACACCACCTTCCTCCCCTTAACACACCACCCCTCCTTAACACCACCTTCTTCCCCTTAACACACCACATTCTCCCACTTAACACACCACATTCTCCCCTTAACACACCACCTTCTCCCCCTTACACTCCACCCTCTCCCTTAACACACCCTTAACACACCACCTTCCCCTTAACACACAAACCTTCTCCCTTAACACACCACCTTCTCCCCTTAACACACCACCTTCTCCTTAACACACCACCTTCCTCCCCTTAACACACCTTCGTCCCTTAACACATCAACTTCTTCCCTTAACACACCACCTTCGTCCCCTTAACACACCCTTCTTCCCTTAACACACCACCTTCCTCCCCTTAACACACCACCTTCTCCCCCTTACACTCCACCCTCTCCCTTAACACCCCTTAACACACCACCTTCCCCTTAACACACAAACCTTCTCCCCTTAACACACCACCTACTCCCCTTAACACACCTTCCCCCTTAACGCACCACCTTCCTCCCTTTAACATCCACTAATTACTACCACTTCTCTGCTCTATATTATCGTGACTACTACATCATCTCTCCCCCCTTAATATCACATCAACAAACAACACAGGATCAATACCTCGTACCTTTGCCTCATAAACAAACCAACACCCACGTGATCTCTTCTCTCTCACTCAACACTCCAGACAAGTGAAGGTTCTTGGTCAAATGGATCACTACTAATAGACACCCATTGTATTGGATCCCACGTTACCTAAACTAATCCCAACTAACTATTACGTAATTGTTAGATTAGGTGTCTGGGTGTCTGTAGTATAATGATCAATTGGAAAAGAAAACAATATACTTAGATGGAAAATGATACAAGATGGATAATGAAAAATAGTACTTGTAATACTTTTTTTTTTTAAATGGCCTCAGCCTCCCCCAAAAGCCACACCTTCGCCACCATAGTCAATATCTCCAGCTGTTATCGGCTGTGGGGCAGAAGCTTTCGTTCCCCTGAGGCAAAGCAAAGCCCCGACCCGAAGGAGAGAGAAAGACAGTCGACATCTCATCCAGGCGCCTTAACGTAGCTTCTGGACTGCTGCTTCTGTTCGGAATCACCTCCTTGGTCAATGGTAAAACGTCTTACCAATTCATTCCCCAGGAGTTGTGAACACTAGAGGAGTGAAGCTGCCTTGATCAACGTTCTGAATTCTCCCCCGTATGCCCTTATCTTGTCGTTCTCGTTCCTACTGTGCGCACTGGGAAACTAAGTGCACGGTGACATGCGGCCATGGGATGAAAAATCTGATGTCGAAGAAGGCTAGCTGTCCCAGCGCCCAGAATCTCCGAGCACTGACGTCAACACGGGCTTCGTTGGATGTGTTTCAGAGAGATCTATGTTGGAAAGTCTCACAGTCCAATGGAAGAAGGGTCGGTTCTACCGTGACATCCTGGCAAATTTCCTTCAACATATTTGCTGTGAGATCCCTTACTTCATCATGCCTCATGCAAATGAAGCCACCTTTCTTGCTCACCATGGCATGATCGACGTCATAGGTAGAGCCACACACGCATTGGGAGGGCAACCCATCTAATACTGGCCAACCATACCTTAGAGCAATGGCATCTGTAAATTCAATTATTGAGACTGAAACCATTTGCCCTTATCGGTAACGTAGTTAACCAGTTCAGCGCCCACCTCCTGCACTGTAGCTACTTTTTTTCAAATTTTCTGGTACCTGCAGCAACAGTTGCTGCGCTATCGTAACAGTGCTGTCGTTCTGTAAGTAATGGCCTACGAATCTTGTTTACTTCACTGTTGTCACCTCCTCTGTTGCGTTCTGGGCTATTATGTGGTCGTGAGGGCTTACCGTGACTCTTTGAATTTTTGATGTTGGGTGGCCTTAATCTCCTCTGGATTAGTTAGTCCCATCGCTTCTGTCTTGATGGAAGTGCAAGAAGTGATCTTTCTGCTGGGGTTAGAGGGGTGTTCACTAATTTGGGAATAGAAATTGACTATAGCTTCTTCCAAAGGGTGGAGGAGGTCGATATCATGAATGGTATTTACATCAGGTTCAGCGATACTTGACTCCATGGGTGAATGCAGCAAAGCAGCGATGGCTCTGTGTTAGCAATCAGTGTAGAGCTTGGATTTCCCTAACCCACTCATTCACCTTTCCTTCCATACTCGCTCTTGAAGTCCGTGAGTGCCAATTACTGCGCCTAGATGTCTTTGGCCGTCCTTTGTTGTTACGACCTCACTTCAGCCAAAACACCTCCATTGCCCATTCATAATGTTCTGGCTTCACAATCAGGGACTTGTGGCGTTTGGGTTGGCATACCTGTTGTGGACCTCATGATGTTACCAAGTCCCACCACTTTTTGATGTCCTCACTTTTCCTGCTCCTGCATAAGGTCATCAGCATACACCACTTGTTTGACCTCATTTGTTTTAAATTTTTATTTCTTGTTGGAGCACTGATAGGCCCTATTGCATACATTGCCATTGCAACAGGGGTCCCCCTGTGTTGTTCCTCGGTTGACTGTATGGTGGTATCTGCCTCTCTTAGAGCCTTGTTGTTTACTATATAGAGGTCTGATGGATTCTATGCTAGTTTTCAACATACTTTTGCAAAGCTTGGACACTTGATCTTGATGTTGTGCGAGTGCGGCCCTTTGCGGTTAAGTATGTTGAATGCCCTGAAGCATCCACCAGGAGAACGGCCTCACAATTACGCTGCTCAAATATCAATCTCATGGCATGAATGGTGGCTTCCCCCGCCAGCGGTGGCCAACACACACTTGCAGGTCCCCTGCTGCTGCCCTGACATCATCCTTTGCCACCTCCATTATGCGTTTCCGATGATCCGCCTCAGAACTTCCCCACCCTATAGGCCCTACTGCCTGGATTCTTATCCAGGGAATGAGGCAACAGGCAGATCAGAGTATGAAGGTGATGGCAGCAAGAGATGCCAGCTTTCTTGCAGGGCGGCAATGGCAGTGCAGGGAATCACCCGCTACAGGGCCAAACTTTGTTTATGCTGAGATTATTTCTCCAACCGTTTGCATCAGACCTGAAGGGCCGGCTCCTCCTCGAGTCTTCAGTGCGCTTTTTCACACCATCTCTCCTGTTATTTTCTCGAACAGGATAGCATTTGATGGGATCATACGTGTACCTGGAACCTGATGCCTGCTTCGCCACTTGCAGGGGATGTTTATCTTTCCAGTAGTTTTAATGTCTCTGTTTGCCGACAGAACCCCACCGGAGAGATTCCTCTGGCAGAGAGATCTTACCGCCAAAAGACACTTTTCCCTGCGCATTTTTGTTTCCAAAATTTCTTGCCCACGTCATCGGTGTTTTGCTTTCGTCACCCATAATCTTTAGTCTCTCCTGCAGTATTTCTTGCTTCACATAGGAGATCATCAAGAGCCCCCAATCTGCCACATTGCCAATCTTCTCTTCATTCCTGCCTCATTTTCTTTGTGCTTAGTCTTTGTGTCCTCTGACAAAATAGATGTGGGTGTGTATTTGAAGAGCTAAGGGGCGAGAAGCTGTCCTGAGTGTATTAATCAGTTTATGACGAATCATCTCCCGATTCATTTCTTTGGTGGCGCACTTGGGTGGACCAAATAGGTTTGGCGACCACACAAGCAATAATTTCTGGTGGGTTTTCTTTGACCCATATGTCTGCATTTTCCATCAACATGCCATTCCTGTGGTGGCTGTCTCTCTCATTCTCTTCGTGGACATCTGCTCTGAAAGAACAGCATTATTAGAACTATATTTTCGGGTTGGTGACACTGCTGTCTTGAGGATATCAATGGGCGGTTGGGTCAGCACGATATCTACGTGGCACCTGTGCCCGCTCCTCGACGTGGGTTCCGACAATTGTCTCTCCCTTTCTGCAATCCACATAATTCGGTTGTTTCTCGCATCCACAATTTGTGCAGTTTTGGTTCTGGCTAGCACTACTACTAAACCTACTACTACTACTACTACTACTTTTTTTTTAACGTGGCCTCCAGCCTCCCCAATAGCCACACCTTATACCATTTTATTAAGTATCCTAACACACAAGTAGCTATCCTAGCTGTGTTGAATTAGTTGAGCCGCAGGTCTATGCGGCATTCAGTGACTGGAGCCTCATAGTCAATAATAATAATAATAATAATAATAATAATAATAATAATAATAATAATAATAATAAAAGTACTACTACTACTACTACTACTACTAATAATAATAATAATAATAATAATAATAATAATAATAATAATAATAATAATACCTTGGCTGTGTTGAGTTAGTTAAGCCACAGATCTATGCGGCATTCAGTGACTGTTGTTTCATAGTAACACACACACACATACACACACGGCTACTTACTTCGCTGTCACTCAGAATCGAATATGATACAATGATATGAGTTATTAAGGATGTTGTCACCTAGTTGGTGAATTGTGAGGTGACTTGAGAGGCCGATACGGGATCGGCACTGCCGTCCAGAGATGATGCACGTGTGGAGGGCTACATCTAGTGCGGGATGGGCGGCGGCATCGTCTTCCCGGCGCTGGCGCTTGTCTGTTTGTGTCGGGCTAACTAGAAAAATTATTGACACCTTCTTGTGGTGCTCCTCCAAGCGTTATGGTGTGGAGTGATCACCCCCAGGTGAGGGGGTCGAATTGGTAATTTTTCAGGTTTATCTTAAGCATATCCTTATACCTTTTCCGTTGTTCGCCAGTGTTATGTTTACCATTCGTTAGGTGTTAGTAAAGTAGCTGCTTTGGCAGTCTACTGTCGTCCATGCGGGTAACATGGCCAGTCCAACTTAGTTGTTCATGGATAATGGTAGCCTTGATGCTCCTACAGTTGGCGTCATCGAGAATGCTGGCATTTGTTCTCTTGTCTTCCCAGCGAACTCGGAGGATGGTAAAAGTTTTCAAATGCCATTAGGTGCCTTTTTTATGTGACCCATGCCAAACAGCAGGGTGGGGATGACCAGTGCTAGATAAATGTGCAGCTTTGTAGATAATTACAGCTCTTTACAGCTGAAGACACAGGTACTGAGTTTGCCAAAGGATTGAGATGCACATCTAATTCGATATTGAACCTCTTCATCGATGTCCGTGTTGGTGGACAGGTGGGAGCCAAGGTACTGGAATTGGGTAACATTAAAGAGAGTAGTACCATTGAGTTGGGTGGATGTTGGATGTGTGGCTGAATCAGGGATAGACTGAAAGAAAATCTGAGGCATACGTGCATTCACCTCGAGGCTGAAGTGTGCATACGCATCTGCGAGGGTGTTCAGGATTTCCTGTAGGTCACGTTCAGTGTGAGTGACGAGGGTGAGGTCATCTGCATACTGAAGTTCTGTGATGGAGACGGCCGACACTTTTCTTCCTGCTTGGACTCGTTTTATGTTGAAAGGTCCTTTCATCCAGTACTGGATGTCCACCCTGCCAGACTCAATTGGCGATGGCTCGAGTAAGGAAGGCAGCCGAGAAATTAGATAAGAGAGTTGGTGCTGTTCACATCCTTGTTTTACCCCCATTTGGATGGGGAAAAACTCAGACTGGGTTCCAGTAGGACACTGCAGATCATGTCATTGTAGAGTTGCCTCGCCAATGGCAATGAAATTTGATGGGCAGCCAAAACAGCTGAGGGTCCGCCAGGGGGCTCCCCTGTTGACCGAGTCGAAGACGTTAGTAAGGTCGATGGGAGCCATGCAAAGTCACGACGCTGTTCTCTGCACTTTTCCTGTATCTGGCGGGCAGCAAAGATCATATCAGTGGTGCCAAGTGTTGGTCTAAAACCACATTGGGATTCTGGGATAGTTTCCGTCGGATGAACAAAGGGGGGGGGGGCCATGCCATGAATAATTGGGCAATATATTGTTTGAGTGGAATTGAAAAAATCAGACATCTTGTGTTGATTTGCAAATTTTTGCATTTCACACCTATATTTTCCACCATTCGCTCATTAATTTTTGAAGTTTGCTTTCTGTTGCTACTTTCTTCTTGTGGAAGGTATCAGCTTTGGTCCGAGACTTAGGGTTGTTCTGCCAGTTAGTGAAAGCAGCACGTTTACTATCGATGAGTACTTCAATTTCCGGGTCGTTTTCATCAACCCAATCCCTGTGTTTTCTTTTGACCATACCGAGGGTCTCGATGCAGATTTTTGTTATGACAGCTTTCACGGGACCCCATTCGACACTCGGATCTTGGTTGTTTATTCTTGGGTTGTTTATCAGTCCATCGTTGAGCTGCTCTTTCAAGGCATGTGCTACCGCTGGATCCACCAGTCGCTTGGTGTTAAAGTTTCTTCTGGAGGCCTGTTGCCTCGTAGTACAGCGGATAATGGAAAAATCGTGCAAAATTTCATACAAGTATGAATGGCATGCTTGTCAATCTGCTTCAGCCGGATAATGGAAAAATCGTGCAAAATTTCATACAAGTATGAACTTGGGTATGCTACTGTCAAATTCGTTTGATTGGCCATTTGGAAATCCAAGATGGCGGCTATTTCTCAAGATGGCTGCCAAATTAACCTTCGAAAGATGATTTTTTACAAAATTGATGTAGTTGGTCAATCTAAATGATCTTAGTGTCGATATGCATGTTTTCAAGCATGCCTTCAGATATTTTTTCTATTTCTGATACTCTCAGATATATATTTGTCTTTATTTATGACTGGTTTTATGTACTGGTTTTATGTTCTTCCAACTAGGTGAGGGTAGCATGCTGGAGGTTCTGCATGTGAGGGAGTGATTGTCGGGCACCACTAGCACACTAATGACATCACAAGCTGTGCAACCCAGCATGGGGTTCAGTGTCATCTAAGAAAAGCATGTCATACTGCAACAGCTTAGTGTCCCAAATGCTGCTTAACCAACCCCAAATCAGTTAAGCAAATCGCACCTGAATTGACAGGATGTGCCAGTGGGAGAGCCGACAAGGATAACAGGGTTTTAGTTATCTGATGGTATACAGATCGCGGGGACCAATGACACTGGTGAACGATCGACTAGGGGAAGCAAAGGCATGAGCCTAGTTGTATCCCATACAAGAAAGTGCTCATCAGGGTGGTAAAAGGATAAACCATCGGCCCTGAATTTCAAAAAATAGCAGGGACACAAAATCTACCAACAAATCATTCACTGACTGGGCAAAGTAAGGTTGTCTTTGTCAACAGGATAATAGCTGAAGATCTTAAGTCTCCACATGCAAATCCTGCCAAAAAAGGAGACGGTTACAAGAGCTAAGCAAGGAATATCTTCATTTCATTCAATCAATGCTCTACACTGCTTGACCCTGCAAGATTTGGTTGAAGATGATGGATGGAGAAGACCTTGAGGAGAAACAAGGCACAGTATCATGAGGTTGCAGACTTCCGTTCAACAACACAAAGTTAAACAGAGCCTCAGAAAGGCGAACTCTGCAGTTGCTACAGAGGAGAGCAGCAGCAGTAGAAGATACCACGAATGGTCAGGAGACCACAAAGCAACAGAATGCTTTCTCTATGGAGGAAGAATCTTGGGAGATGACATAAGACATAATGACAATGAAACTTTAATAAAAGATTGATTGATTGTGCAGTTACCTTAGCGATGGAAAACTCCTTGCCAAACTAAGTGCAGGAGATGTTGTGGCACTAGAACTGAAATGTCACCCCGCCTGCCTGGCAGACCTGTACAACCGAGAAAGAACACACCGAAATGCTCTGTGAGCAAGAAGAAGCACAAGAGCTTGATCCAAACAAAGGACGCATACCTAACCAGCTTTCTGAACCACAAATTTTTGACTTGGTTGACCTGGCCACACTCTACAGACAGAGACTTGAGCAGCTGGGTGTTGGATCGCCTGGATGTCTATGCTACTCGAGTGAAGCGACCAGTTGCTTTTTCACATCCCCAGCTGCGCTCATCAATATGAAGAGATATGCCACTGGCCTTTGAGAAGGCTGATGTTGGCTCAATCCTGGCACAAGCAAGCAATACGGTGAGGCGATCCATCTGGCCAAGGCTGCTGGGATGACATGACGGGACATGCTTCAGCAATGTCACACTTCAGCAGTACATTTCATGAAGGATGCATTAGAACAGGCTGTTCCACCATCACTGCTTCAATTTGTATGCATGATCGAACATGGTGCAGATATCAAATCCCAACAGCAGCATGGCGCATCGAAGTCTGACCTTGTTATGTCGCCAGCTTCCATAACACAACTGCTTTGGTTAACTACAAGGTAAGAACACAACCACGGTGAACACTCCATGACCATGACACCTTGCTATCTATGTCGGCATATCTGTGTTTGCTAAGACAAGAAAGAGGCAGCTCATCGACATGCTGCATGAAAATGGGGTCAGCATTTCATGGCGACAGGAGTTCTCACAATTATCAGCTCTAGCTAGGAGAAGCAGTTAAAGTGCTCAGTACGTGGAAGATGGAGGGTGTGTCCACCAATCTGAGGAAGCAATTGTTCACGACTTCAGCACAGTGGACAACATTGACCACAACCCCATCAGACTACGGCCAAAACGTCCTTCCATGGACCAGTGTGTCCATCTTCCAAGATCTCAAGCCCTGAACTGGCTGGTGAGGAGCGTGAGCCACTCACACGGAACAATGCAGATACGATATCAAGTGAAGTTCCTGAGCCTAGAGGCATTCACCACTGCCCGACCAGTTTATATGATGAAGAATCCCAACTTCTCCCTTGGTAGCATCTCAGTCATTGCCAGCACCTGAGTCAATTCAGTCACACCTGCAGGAAGAGGGATGTGGCTGATGAAGTCTTGCATCACGGGCAGCTCAACATGCAGCACAGAAGAGGTGTCAAATATTTGGGCGAGTATTACGTCTCTGTTTCCCCCCTGCTTCGAGATCAGGCAACACTCTGTGGCAAATCATCAAGCATGTCATGGAAAAAGGTTCGTGATAAGCAGTGGGTTTTCTGAACCCATGTTAGATCCCAGTCATAAGTTGCTGACTGTGCCACTGTATGCCCTGGCAAAAACAACCAATGGCATTGGCCTGAGTATGGGAGAAGACAGGTATGTTATTATGTTCGGGGACTTCACACAGAGATGGCTGCACTGGAGATCAATAGGAACGCTACTAAGAAGACAGTGGTTGGACCGGTTCCCTTGTTGAAGAGGGAGAGTGCACTTGGCACAGCAGAGCCTTTTTCTGTCTGTATCAAATCAACTAAGACAAAATCCAGCACATCAAGTCACAGCATGCAGTTTGTACGAACTGATGAAGGAGGCATACCAAGACTATTGCTCTGATGAGTCTAAAAGGCCAACTTTTGAGCTTTGAAGACTAGTGTAAACAACGGAGGTTTGAGAGTTCACAGTTTCAATTCTGAACCTTGTGCTGGACATGGAGCTCACCATCTTCATGTTGATCCGCTCATTCAGGGAAGGCAATTTCAAACTCTGGCCTTTGAAAAGAATTTCCTAGAGCTGATCCCCCAACTTTGCGAACAACACGCTAATTTGCGTCCGGATGGCTTCCAATTCAATTCGAGACATGATGTGCCTTGAGCAACAACATCCAGAGGTACCGAGGGAGTTCTAATAAGGAACTTTTGTTGTTCATAGTCAGGAAGAGAGCTCTGCCATTGTTATTGATCGCCTCCATGAACAAAACAATGCAGTGATTAAAGGCGATGGAGGAGCAGGAGGTTGACTGGAGCAGCACTGTAGGTGATGGTGGCTGACCTGAAGTGAGGAAGTCTTGTTGTTGGATATGAAGCTGCGTCAGTGCAAAAAGATGGAACCACTCACCAGCAGCCGACATCATGAGCAGAGACCTGAGTGCACAGAAATCTTTTGAGGCTGTGGAAGCATTATCTGTTGTGTTGCGGAGATGGGCAACTCCTTTTCTAAGAAGAGTCATCTGACCTTCTGGTGTTAGGATACAAAGAACATTGTAGATCCAGATATTGCTAAAATGGTTGGTACACACCATGACAGAGGAAACGAGTAATTCCAGTCATTCTAGAGGGACTAAAGAATGAAGGCAAATGTCTTGTTCTACCATCCAATCAAGAAAATGATCCTTTTCTTCAAACATGACCACGTTGTTAGCAGTTCCAAATATAGCTGTACT